AACCAACCCGAGTGATCTGTGACAGACAATCCCATGCCTCTTCTGTTCTTTGCAACCCTCCCCCTAACTGATGCCTATCTACAATTTGGTACTGCTCCACAGAGCCTTCCTCTGCCTGCCCTCCAGTTTTTAGCACAATTTCCTACTACTGTAGCTTCTGGACCTGATACGATCTTGAATACGTGATCCAATAAATCAAAGCTGCCACGTGCAACTAATGTGCATTCTATTCAAATTAAATTTTTCTGGTGAGAGTCAGGAGCGCAAGAAAACACTGACCTGCAAAAATGTTATTGATGAGGCTTTGTGCTGATTCACACACGGGGCTGAGGTTCATCCATATCACACAGAAAATCCTAACAGTGCCAGGGCTACTGCACCTTTTGAAAATTAATACATCACCCAGGAGAGAGGATGAACAGAAGCTTGCAGTTTGCTTAATGAGTTCCTTCACAAATTGTAAATGCAAGTAGCACTCAGAATGCAAAATTTTGGGCATGTATTTGTCTGACGGTGTATTTTATGCCTCTAAAACACTTTATTTCTTCAAAACAAAAATAGGTGAAGATTAAGTTAGATCATTTTAATACATAAACTGTATTGTTAATACTCAACTTTCTTTACTATTGTTCAGAACAGTTTACTAACAGGAGAGACTTAATCCTATAATGAAATAATCTATAACTCATAATAATCTTTAACTCATATATAACAACAATTACTGTAATTAGCAATTAGTTTTCCAAAGGCTCCCAATTGTTTAGTATTTGACTCTTGCTTTCATCATTTAATGATTTACAGTAATGAGCTGGAACATCAGTATTTTGTACTGAAATGGCCAAAATAGTTGTCCAGGCATTGCTGCCCTCATGTGACAGATCTCAGATGTTTTTGAGAAAAGTTAGCCAAAAGCAACAGACAATGCCATCACTTCTGTTTCATTTTTACTGAAAAACAACAACAAAGTGACCGTAATGACTTGCAGTCAGAGTCTCAGTAGCTTCTGAAGGACTGTTACTTTGCTGAGATTCTGCCCTTTGTTTAAGTTTTGTTTGACAAATGCTTTATAAATGAGCAGGAGAGGTGGTTTATGTTTCATTAATGAGGCTGATAGTGGTTAATTACTGAAGTTACGTAAACAATCCAATACCAGATCAACCCAAACGGGTCAGTTATGTAGAGAAGATCCAGCTGGAGTAGATACCATTTCCTTTAACTATTCGAAAACCACACAAGTTACAGAGATGTACAATCTCTACTTCAGATGAACAAAAAAGTCCGCTTCACTTGAAAACGAATTCTCTCAATAGTTATCGATCGAGGGAAGCTCTTTCTTTATACAAGAAAACACTGACCTGCAAAAATGTTATTGATGAGGCTTTGTGCTGATTCACACACGGGGCTGAGGTTCATCCATATCACACAGAAAATCCTAACAGTGCCAGGGCTACTGCACCTTTTGAAAATTAATACATCACCCAGGAGAGAGGATGAACAGAAGCTTGCAGTTTGCTTAATGAGTTCCTTCACAAATTGTAAATGCAAGTAGCACTCAGAATGCAAAATTTTGGGCATGTATTTGTCTGACGGTGTATTTTATGCCTCTAAAACACTTTATTTCTTCAAAACAAAAATAGGTGAAGATTAAGTTAGATCATTTTAATACATAAACTGTATTGTTAATACTCAACTTTCTTTACTATTGTTCAGAACAGTTTACTAACAGGAGAGACTTAATCCTATAATGAAATAATCTATAACTCATAATAATCTTTAACTCATATATAACAACAATTACTGTAATTAGCAATTAGTTTTCCAAAGGCTCCCAATTGTTTAGTATTTGACTCTTGCTTTCATCATTTAATGATTTACAGTAATGAGCTGGAACATCAGTATTTTGTACTGAAATGGCCAAAATAGTTGTCCAGGCATTGCTGCCCTCATGTGACAGATCTCAGATGTTTTTGAGAAAAGTTAGCCAAAAGCAACAGACAATGCCATCACTTCTGTTTCATTTTTACTGAAAAACAACAACAAAGTGACCGTAATGACTTGCAGTCAGAGTCTCAGTAGCTTCTGAAGGACTGTTACTTTGCTGAGATTCTGCCCTTTGTTTAAGTTTTGTTTGACAAATGCTTTATAAATGAGCAGGAGAGGTGGTTTATGTTTCATTAATGAGGCTGATAGTGGTTAATTACTGAAGTTACGTAAACAATCCAATACCAGATCAACTCAAACGGGTCAGTTATGTAGAGAAGATCCAGCTGGAGTAGATACCATTTCCTTTAACTATTCGAAAACCACACAAGTTACAGAGATGTACAATCTCTACTTCAGATGAACAAAAAAGTCCGCTTCACTTGAAAACGAATTCTCTCAATAGTTATCGATCGAGGGAAGCTCTTTCTTTATCTGCAGTTCAAGCACTCATCAGATCCTGAGACCTGTCCACATAAAGGCAGATGTTGTGTGTCGATCGGGCTGCACGGAAACTCACGACAATAGAAATGAGGCTGCAAAAGTGGGGCTGGTCAGAGCAATGTCACCAGATCTGATTATTTCCTATGGAAAACATATGTGTCCCTTTTTCTCCACTTCAGTGGCACTTCTAGATGACATGAACAACAAGCTCATGACAGGAACTTGTTGACCTAACGTTTTCAGGCCATATCTATGAGTAGTATTTGTTTACTCATCTCTACCAAAGCACGTTTGAAGTATATGGTTATTTCCTTTGCCCATTAAAATGGCACTAGGCATGTCACTGATCAGAGACTTTATCAGTGTTTTACACAACTGATGTATATAAGGAAAATTAACAGAAAACAGAGCTGGAAGAGATCTCAAAAGTCCTTCATCAAAATAACCCAGAACAATTCGTAAGTTCTATCAGGTAGCTTAAACTGATCTTCAAAACATCCAGTGATGAGTACAGAGGCAACTTATTCCAATGCTATTTTTACCACCGTAATTGCTTTCTCTAGTATCTAATTTAAATCTTCCTAACTCCTAAACGAGCTTTTTATTTCTTGATTCTTTCCTTATTTTCCTCTTCTTTGCAGCAGTTCTTTATGTGACTCAAGTGGCCTTTCGGGTCTCCCATTTTTATTGTCACACTAAGCTTTAAACAGAAGTGATCTGTTAAAATAATGTCAATTTATGTATTTAACATGGACCAGTCACCTGATCTGAATCACTGCATGACTATGCAGAACAGTTCAATACCGCAGCTACGAAGAAGATAGCACATGGGCTGGAGTTAACAACCATGGACTAACACTTCATGTGGCACTGTGGTTAATTTCTACCACAACTAAGGTTTAGGTTCTTAGATACTTATTTGAGAAACTGAATTTACTCTGAATCCACTAGGTTTTATAACACTGAAGGGAATGAGGATTAGATACCTACTAAAAACCTGGGCTTCAGACTTAAGTTTCACCAAGTCAATAGGCTTCAAATACCCACGTCCCATAGTTACACTCAAACAGCATCCCAGTAAGGTACCTTCTATCAGAAAAAAAGTACGAAAATCAGTAGTGTTTAAAAGCTGAAGGCAATATTTCACAAACCTCTGCCTGTTTTTTCAAACTTTCATGAGAAAGGCTGAAAAGCCGGATGAAAAAGCCAATGGTATATATGAAAGAGATGCTACTATGGAAACAATCATCTTAGTTCTAACAATTGTAAATCTTCCACTTCTAACCACTGAAGTTTTTTTGACATCTTAGTAAGTTGCTGTAGAAGGCTGCTTTTACTGGAAAGACAAATGCTAATCATAATAAAATTTACAAGATCATTCTCTCTGTCTCTACTGCATTATCTCTGCATTCCAGCCCTCTGTCACCACACATTATCAATGCGGAGCATTTGAAAGCTAAAAAAACCCCACGAGATGCTCAATTAACATCTGCAAGTTAATCCTGTTTGTTCTGGAAAGCCAGACTCGGCTATTCCACGTCCAAAGACTAACAGATTCCAAAATGGTGCCACTAGATATAAGTTCCACACTCTGCTCTGGATCCTATGGAATACAAACACGACTGTCCTTCGGAGGCCAACGTCCGTGTGCTGTGCATTGAGCCACAGATTTGTGAAAACCCATTTTCCCTATGGACTATTTTAAGTGGTCTTGCAATAAGATAACCATGAGGAAATTGGTTTTTCCCTTTGCTGTCTAATTCCACGAAGTATACGACAGAACCATTTTTTCCTGAGGTAAACTGAGAACTTCTCTTACACAAGAGAAAAGTGATCTCCTTCTGGAGTTAGTGTGTTTGCAACCTGGCACACGTTATGTCAGGCAGCAAGTGTAATGACACGATACCTAACAAGAAAATGTGCTGTCCAGAGGATCACACCTTGTACCTAGGAAATGAGGAAAACATCAAATTGTAACGGTTCATTTATTAGAAATTATTAATAATGGAAATACTCGGGGTTTTAAGAATGAAATTTTGCAAAATTAGTGGCAAGAGAAGTGGCTAACAATCCTTTTCTGTCGTGGGCCACACGTGAGCCCTGTCTGTGCTGGTGTAGTGACACAATACCTAACAAGAAAATGTGCTGTCCAGAGGATCACACCTTGTACCTAGGAAATGAGGAAAACATCAAATTGTAACGGTTCATTTATTAGAAATTATTAATAATGGAAATACTCGGGGTTTTAAGAATGAAATTTTGCAAAATTAGTGGCAAGAGAAGTGGCTAACAATCCTTTTCTGTCAGGGCCCCCGTGAGCCCTGTCTGTGCTACATCGACACAGGTTTGTCAGAACTGGAACAGGAAGACCAAGGTTCTGTGTGTGGAGACACCGGCCTTATCAAGTGTTTCCAAATTCAATTATTATGTCACGTAGATATACTATTGCAATATTTTCTCTGCCCAGCAGAGAAAATTATCCATTAACACTCGGACATTTCAACGTTAAGCAATCAAAATGGGAGAATTTTAAATTCTACCAAGAAAGCAGAATATTTAGTAACTGGACAGGGAGAACTCCGGGAAACGGTGACGCGAGGGTCCCCATGGCCTCTGTCCCTGATGACCCAGTTATTATTTGATTTATGTGGACTTGCAGCTGCCCTCGCTTCGACCCCAGAAAAGGCTGTGTGGGAAGTTTGTGTCTCAGAGCCGTAGCGCTGCTCTGCGGAGTGTCTGGAGCCCAGTGTGTGCTCAGAAACTGATAAATAGGGAAAAGGCCCAGTTTGCTCCAGCTGGACTCGGCGCGGGGAGCGGTGCTGCAGCCCAGAGGACTCCACTCTGGAAGCAAGAAACTCCCTGGAACCCCCGTGAGTACTTCATTGACTTCTCTGAATGCTCTGGGATTATAAATTGTTGCTCTAGTCATAAATCAATTTGCCATGTGAAAATATTTCAGGTATTGGTCTTTTTTTCTTCTTTTTCCTTTCTTTCTAAATGTCTGACTAAATGAAAACAGGAAACATGCACTTTTAAATTTGGTATGTTACTGCCAAGAATTTCTTCTAACAGTACTTCATTTGACATAAAAAGTGATGTAAAATGGCTTTTAAATTTAATTATTTGTTTCCCTTACCCAAAGTACAAGGAAAACCGTAAGTTTCAAACAACCTAACCTCTTATTTTACAATGTATAAAAATTACGCCTTTGAAATAATTATTCACGGGGTAACAGTTCCAAAGGAAGGTTTCAAGATAATTGCAACACAATCCATGAGTGAAATAAGCCAATTCCTATTATTATCATTATATGATAAGGAAGAAACACTTCTAAGGAGAAGTGGGATTTCTTCAAACAGCAGCTCTGGGGAGCTTCTTGGCACATTAAAACTGGGAGAAACAGATAAAACTTTAATAATGTTTATAAGCTGCATACCGGATCAATCAAGTGATGCTACAACTTCTCCTGCAAAATCATTCTTTAATGACAGTAATCAGTGATTACTGAATTGCAAGAGTGAAACCGCATATATCACCTGACGTACTGGGAGAAACAGATAAAACTTTAATAATGTGTATAAGCTGCATATCGGATCAATCAAGTGATCCTACAACTTCCCCTGCAAAATCATTCTTTAATTAGGGGAGCTTCTTGGCACATTAAAACTGGGAGAAACAGATAAAACTTTAATAATGTTTATAAGCTGCATACCGGATCAATCAAGTGATGCTACAACTTCTCCTGCAAAATCATTCTTTAATGACAGTAATCAGTGATTACTGAATTGCAAGAGTGAAACGGAATATATCACCTGATGCTGCACATAGTTGCCACTGATTGTGCTCAGTTAAAACTTTTTTCAGTTTTTGTTTAAATGTCACAAATTAAAAAATTAAGCTACGCTTTCCAGAAGTATAGCGATTAACACGGAGATTGAGATGTGCTATCTAGTGGCACTACATGATCATTAACGTGCCACAAGGTGTGTTAAATAAATGTTGGAGACCTTCAGCTTGAGTTCCTAAAATACCCTGTAAACAAGAAATTTTCCTATGACTCAACTGTCAAAATATTTACAATAGCAGCTAAAGTACTGTCGATACAAACCCCTTAAAGAGCTCCCTGGAACCTCTTCTAGAAGAAGTATGTTTTGCATCTTAATACAGTTAATAATGTAAGTTGACGATATGTTACTTTATGGTGTGGTATTTTATAGCAATAAAAATGATAAAAACAACATCTTTCACCATAACAATAAATAGATGTACAGTATATATTCTAGTCTGAACGTGTACACTGTGTTAAGTGATTGGTTTGTGATTCTACTTTACTTTTACCAAGTGACGGCTTTTTCTTTTTTTTTTTCTTTAATGGATTCCATCTTTGATAAATTCAAAATCTTTCAGTTAGGACTAGCAACTGAACATTGCTGAATTTCTGTATTAGATGGATAATCAATCCCTTGAATTAACATACATTCTATCTATATTGAACGTTATTAGTTCAGAAGACTGATGACTATAAAACTAAGCCTGTAAAAGTGCAACATTTTCCAAACTGCTTAAGCAACCTAGAGTCTAAGTCACATCTTCTTCTGAAAAAAATAAATACATTCAATTCTCCTGTTCGTAGAGGCTTTCAAAATTAAAACCGAACAACCAATCCACCCCCCATTAGGATTTCACATGTGAAAATACCCAACAGAAATAGCACCTCAGAAGCAACTAAGAAGGAAAAGCAGGGAATAGCACGTCCCATTATGCAGACAACATTTTCTTTCGGGTCTGTGTGCCTGCCTAAGGACTAACGACTCGTCCTAACTGTGTTACTGCTTGTGATCCTATGAAACAAGTTATTACAAAACTATTATTATTTTGTTTTCAGTTATTTCCACTTTTTAGGCCTAAAGGCCTTTATGTATCATCTCTGAGAAGATACTACTTTTTTTTTTTCTTCCTTTTTAAAGCACACATACACAAAACGTACGTCCATATTTTGAATTCACGGAAAAGAAAAAAAATGGGAACAAAATATTTTGGTTTGCGAATGGCAGTTATAGCTGCCCCAAACACCCACAGCTTTTACTCCAGTCTTATTTCAACTTTTACCAAGTTATTATGTTTTGAAAATTACAGCTGGGCATGTCTGCTACATTCTGTCAAGGATTCCACAGCTTCCCAGTGCATGGCTAAGCTTTGTGTGCAGAATTTACATGCCTGCAGAGCAAAGTGTTAAAGAACGTATGTGTGGGCTGAAGAATTGTGTCCTGTAGCTCGTGGTTCACACCCAGTGAGGTGTGAGATTAGGGATGGCTACTAACTTTTGAGAGACAAGCATATAATGCATCATGAAATTTCAGCAATTCCTGAAGTTTGGAGGAGGCTTCCCTGCTGCTGACTGACTAATATAGAAAGGGTGAGGCAAAGGTTGTGACACGTGACTATGAGAGACAATCTTACAAATAATCAAAACTTTCCTGTCCTAGAAAATTAAGTTCTTCCTTATATCTTATTCCCTTCATATTTTTTATTTTAAAAAGCCCCATGCTATTTTATATCAGAAGAACAAGCTTGTTAACACTAAATTCTCAAGTGACAGAAAATGAAAGAGTTAACATTCATGCACAGGCATGACCATTGAGTCTCATTTCAAGACAATATAGCATTCCTAAAATAACCATTGGATTTGCTATTAATACTGTTATAACATTCTCTTAATTTAAGAGTTTCAATTTACAAAGTCTCATTTCTAAGCTGGGAATTCTGTGGTTGCAACCGGTAACGTTTATTAGCCAGAAAAATCAGTAAGAAGGGCTAAATCCTCAAACCCATTCTCATACAATACCTAAATAGAAGAAACTTTGCTTAATGGAAATCTGCTTCCAAGATTTAGAATGTTTAATCAACCAACCACCTTGCATTTGGTAATATGTACTTTATACTCCCAATGTAATACTTTTATCAGAGTGGGTCAGTGAAATTTTATTTTAGCTTCTATCCTTTTATTATTTTTATTTAGAGAAACTACTGGAATCCACAAACACATTACTTCAGCAAATACACATTTTGGGGGAAAAATGTAGACTTTGCCCAGGCCGAACTGATCTAACTGATAAGGACCTCATGATTCAGTGAGTCATTTCTCTTTCAAACAAATATTTACTAGCAGAGATAACAAAAAAATCAGCATTCCAGCCTCACTGCGTCTTGTCACCTTCTGCTGACAACATAAAGAGAAAGTGTTCAGCTCCAAAGACACGCTGTTTTGGAGGAAGGGATATATGTCTTTTAAGACAATAACTTCAATTCAGATTCCCTGAAATGGTATTTTCGTTTTCTCAGCTATATTTAACTACAGGTATTGCACAAAACCCAACATGTGAGTCCTTCAAGGAAGATCTTTAAACCCAATTTGCTGCAAATTCTGCAAGAGCACATGCAGAGAATCCTGTGCACGTGTAGCAGTCTGATTTTCTATGCTTTCCAAATAGTAGGCTTTTTTATCTTTTCTGTCTTTCCCGTCTGCTCAGGGATAGACCATAAGTGTTCACTGGCAGATTGTTTTATAGAGTCCTTACTCAATGGACATCAGATACAACATACTTTTAACCAGTGATGCTCTCACACATTCCACACATGCAGAAGGACAAGGGGTAAAGGAAAATATTTCCTACTGACTTCTCTAACAGCTACTCTATTACCACTCAACTGCCAACCAATACCAGAGACTGCCCATGCACACATGTAGACACAAACCCAGCTGATGCTAGTACCATACAGACTTATTTTTTCTAAAACTCTTTTAAGAATGTTCCGAACACGCTTTTCTAGAACTTCTCTATAACTCGCTCTGAAAGCAAGTTTTTTCTACCCAGTGAAGCTCCTTTTAATCTCTTCCTGAACCAGAGAATTTACCAATGATTACTCTGATTCCCCCACATGGTTTCTTGTAAAATTAGGAGCAAAACAGTTAGGAATGGACTCTACCTCGAATCTGTACTGTTGGACAATCAAACACTTTGCAGCCTCATTTAAAATACGATATGAATTCACACATACCTCTGCTGTCCTTACGATCTGCAAACTGTTTCATACTCTGGAGTTTTCTGTGTTTAGCTCTAACCTACCCAGCAATTCCTTCTCACATGATGTTTCTCTTACTTCTACATTTCTCTAGGTTTCCTTCTTAAAAGTCTATCACACAGCAAAGTGAATGAAACAGTGCGGTTGGGAACAGAATATGGCAAATACATTTGTCACTGTACCTGATGGGTATTGTCTTCCTGAGCCCATACAGTATTACGGTGAGTAAAGCAAAATTTTTATACTATGAAGAAGCAGTATAGAAAAATGAACATCTGTGGAAATTCACATTATTTTCTTCATTTTAGTTTACAAGCTCTTAGAAGCTCCACAGTTGACTATCAAGCCCATACTGAAAGGGTGTTGAAATAGACAAATGTGCTCATACAGATTTTGGTATCTGGATTATGCTCACTCATCATTTCATATAAACGTTACTGGTGCTCTCTCCCTTTGACTTCTATGAAGAAGATACAGGTTTTATTACAGTATTCCAGACACATTATAAATAGAGAGTGGTTATTTTATCTTATAGAACTATAATTGCAATAACTAATTGCGTAAAAGCAGTACAAAGAAACACCATTAAAAAGACCTCCAAACTCCTTTAAAAAACACTTTCCAATTTGTTTTTACAGAGATTAGATCAATCCCAAAGGAAGAATGAAACATGATGCATGTTGCACAAGCTTTTTTCAGTATAGCTGTGTACATTTAAGGGGGGCTGAATAAAATTAAAATTCTACAGATAGAAAGGCAGGAAGAAGTTCTCCTCAAATTCTGTACATACATTTTGCTAAAATGAAATTTCTTAACTATCAACTATCATATGTGCAAAAAACCTAAATAAAACAAGCTTCTGGTTTTTACTCTACCGAATTTCAACTTTAAGACTACTGTCACAGTAATTTTTACCACTCTATTATTTTTGAATCACCTTTCTCAGACTCTTCATGTGCAACATTTTCAAAATTATGCCTAAAATATGCACCACTAACAAACACTTCACTCATTAACAAATTCACTTACTTAAGGGAAAATATTCTTCTGTAACTGGACAACTTAAAATGAAGTGTAAACTCAAAGGTAGCTGTGTCATCTGTTGGCAAATGATAGTCAATTACGTACTAACTAAAGAATCCAGTGACACCCACGTGACACTGCCCAAACTGGTACTAAGCCACTTTCACTACATCCAGGTGTTTGCTTAGAAACATTACCAGTAGCACATTTAAAAAGATCATGCGAGAATTCTGAAAATGCATTTCACTGAATTTCACTGAATTTTAGAGTTGGAAGGGACCATAGAGACCATCTAGTCCAACTCCCCTGCTGAAGCAGGATTGCCCAGAGCTTGTCAGAGCATGTTACTCAGGAGCATCCAGGCGGGTCTTGAAAATCTCCAAGGAAGGGGACTCCACACCCTCCCTGGGCAGCCTGTTCCAGGGCTCTGTCACCCTCACCGTGAAGAAGTTTCTCCTCATATTTGAGTGGAACCTCTTATGTTCCAACTTGTGCCCGTTGCCCCTCGTCCTCTCACTGGGAACCACTGAAAAGAGTCTGGTTCCCTCCTCCCTCAGCCTGCCCTCGAGATTCTCGTAGGCATTGATAAGGTCTCCCCTCAGCCTTTCTTCTCCAGACTAAAGAGTCCCAGCTCTTTCAGCCTTTCTTCATAAGGGAGATGCTCCAATGCTTGAATCATCTTTGTTGCCCTTCGCTGGACTCTTTCCAGTAGTTCCCTGTCCCTCTTGAACTGGGGAGCCCAGAACGGGACACAGAATTCCAGTTGTGGCCTCACCAGTGCAGAGTAGAGGGGGAGAATGACCTCCCTTGACCTGCTGGCCACACTCTTCCTCTAATGCTTATATCCTCTAATACTTATTATTAAAAGTTTAATCTAGAAAACAGTTTTAAACGTTCAAGTAGTTGATGTCAAGTTAATCCTCAGGTTTTTATTTGAATTTCTTCTGTACATAGATGTTTTACCGGAGCACATCAACTATCAGCTGCCAGACACGGATTTTCAGACTGCACCTTACTGTCAGTACTCAACGGTCCAGATTCCTCCTCCCGTATTACAGTCCCAGCCTTCCCAGTCCCAGTACAGCACCTACAGCCTGGACTCTCCCTACGGTGACGGGCAGTGTGTCATCAGCAGCTGTGAATTAAGCAAACCCCCCTTCGTGGCTCCCCACATTAACGACTCCGGATACCAAGGGCTCAAACGGCCAAGATTAACCCACTCTTCTTTGCGAGTGAAGGGGCAGGAGGAGCTGTGTGTCGTGTGTGGGGACAAAGCCTCGGGCTACCACTACAACGCACTGACCTGCGAGGGCTGCAAAGGTGAGAGAGCAGGCAGTCCTCGGCCTCACCGTGCTCGACATAATGATGTACATCTGTGATTTAAGCAAACAGATTTCATTATTTTTTAACTTGATGATTCTACAGAGGATTCTCATTTATCTAACACGCTTATCCAGATGCATATTTTTATTATATTTTTTGAAGACATGCTTTCACAGTGTGTATTTAATATAAGCGTTTAACACAAACCATTTTTGCATTGATTATTCTCTAGAATAGTGTTTAAGCAGGTGCTGACTTTCTTATGACCATTTATTACACATTTCCTTCAGTGCTATTAATTTTACTTACTATTAAATAAGTACAAGTAACAATTGCTTCCTACTTGTATCTTTACTTGCTATATGGGAGCTGCCTTGGTCAGGTAAGGAAAAAAGCAATTAGTATCAGTCAGAAAGAACAAGACGTAACTGTGTTTTTAAAAAGCAAATTTAAAATCAAAGTAATGTTTCCACTGTAAAAAAACCAACCATACAAAACCCTTAAAAGACACCTTAATTCTTTACAACATTATGAGATAAAGCTCCTTAGATTCCTTCGGTCATAACCCAATCCTTGTCTGTAGGCTTCTTTCGACGTAGCATAACCAAAAACGCAGTATATCGATGCAAGAACGGAGGTCATTGTGAAATGGACATGTACATGAGAAGGAAGTGTCAGGAATGTCGCCTGAAGAAGTGTAAAGCTGTGGGAATGCTAGCAGAATGTAAGTGCTCCTTCCATGTTGGCTACTTTACCAATCAACTTGGAGAAAACGTTCTCCAGTCAATCCCTTTTCCTCCTTGGAGGTAAATGGTTTTGGTCTAAACTTCATTTAGCTGTAGGAAAATGTACCTAGTACAGTCTGTAGCATGTGTAGCATCTTCATCTGCAGACACCACCAATGCTTGGGATGTACCTCCTGAAGGGAAGAGGACTGCTGTTCAAAGACATTACAAGAGAAAATAAAATGTACTAATAAGAGGCAGCTAAATATCCTGAACCTTGGCAGGACAGCAGTAAACGTATCAGAAGTGCTTTTGTATTTGAAAAAAGGAAAAAAAAAAAAAGGAGAAAAAAAAATGCACAATAGTTTTCATGAAAAATTCTCACACTTGTACGTCACAGAGCCACAAACGAGATGGTGTAAGACAACTGTGAACACTCAGGCCTTTGGTGGACACTGAACACTAACTTGCATAATGAGCACCACATGGCCATGTTCTCTCAGAAGCACAGTTCCTTATAGGTGACAGGTCCTGTGATGCGAGACTCACCTTATCTATAAAAGTGATTATTTGAAAATTGTCATTATTTATGTGTTGATGCACACTTCCACGCCTCACAGGTTTGCTGACTGAAGTACAGTGCAAGTCAAAGAGACTCAGGAAGAATTTCAAACAGAAGAACAGTTTTCTTTGCAACCTAAAACTGGAAGATGAGGGACTGAACAGTAAGCATGTATCATCTACAACAAGATCTGGAAAAGTGTGATAATTTTCTATTTAAAATATCTCTTTTTATCATTTCTTTCTGCTCCAAGTCATTGTCATCTGATTGGTTTATTTTTTTACCAGATCCCAGAGAAAATGGAACTTACTCCAGGGGAACATCAGCTTCTTGACCACATTGTAGCAGCACACCAAAAGTACACAATTCCCCTTGAGGAAGCAAAGTTTGTACGTATACAGAACAATCAGCCTGCAGTGCTAAGTTGTTATTATCCTAAGCACCGTATCGTGGTTATCTCAGATGTCTAAATGTTCTTTTATGCAGCTACAGGAAACTGCAAGTCCTGAGGAGAGTTTTCTCCATCTCTCTGAGACAGCCGTTGTCCATGTACAAGTGTTAGTGGATTTCACTAAAAGACTTCCAGGTAAGTTCCTTCCTTTGGGAAATGTTACCAAATAGTGTGACTTTTTTTTTTTTGTTTTAAGAGGCAGAAACTACACTGATGCTGTGAATCCGAGAAAAATCCAGGCTTTACGAAAACTCTCATTTAACAGACTATTTTTTCTTACAACTCTAATGATCAGGGTTACCATTTACTTGCCACAAGGACAAGTTAGAAGCATTCATTTCAAAAGTGTGCTACAATTACTTTTCTATTTCCAACATAGAGACATTTTTCTGAAAGTATATTCAAAATATCATCCTCAGTGAATTACTATTTCAGCACATTCTCTGCAATCCAGCTCAGTTTGCAATTTATCACACTCAACAAAGAAAAAAACCAGATGTTACTTCAAAGGAAAAGGCAGCACAAAAGGGACTAACCAGGTGCTCCTATTCATATTTTCCTTTCATAAAAAAAAAGGACAAAAGTCAATCAACACATCTAAAGCAGATATTTGATGTAATTTAGCACTAATGTGGAACAGATCTGAAAGAATGGATGAGCTGTTTGTTTTCTTATGTTACATATCCTGCTCTGATCAGGATTAAGAAAAAAATCAATAAAGTTCCTTTGGTGTTTAATTTTAAGTGCAGATAATGAATTTGTCAAAAGATGAACATAATTTTAAAAAAAGATCAGATATCAATGAATAAGAATACCCACACTCATTAACCAGTGCAGCAAATTTATTAGGTATTAGGTCATTTGACATAAATCAGATATTAGAAAGACATTTTCAATAAAGTCTTGATCATTCCCAAAATTTTTACTTGTCTCTTCCTGTGAATCTTCTAACACTGGGCACTGACAACTGCACTTTTTCTTTTTTTTTCCTTTTTACTTGTCTAATTTGGAAACCAGCAAGACAGATCCCAGTAGTCTTTCGTACAAGCATCTTTTAACTATGGCTCTTCCTTTCCAGTAAAGGCATTTATTAAAAAAAATAATTCTATCAACTCATGTTAGGGGCTTAAAGACAGCCACAGCCTTCCTTGATTCTTAACATGTATCTTTCTCTGCAGGGTTTGAAAGTTTAGCTAGTGAAGATCAAATCGCGCTGCTAAAAGGGTCAACAGTTGAGGCGATGTTTTTGCGTTCAGCCCAAATATATAACCAAAGAATTAGTGAATGCCAACCATCAACAAGTGAAAGTAAGTTTGACCAACAAGCTTTCTATTAACACCAGCAGGAGGTTCTGCCACTATGAAACAACTTTCGCTCACTTTAATTCACTTAATCTCAAATAATTTCCTATTCTAGCATAGTGGTACCTAGAATAGTACCAGTAATGCCCACAGACTTTCTATAGGATTTTTTTTTCAAAGAGCATACAAAAAAAAAATTTAAAAAAGGATTTCTGTTTTCCTCCTATTAGTTCCAAACAAGAGCAACATTTTTGAGTGTCTGCACAAATTTTGGGGTGAATCGATAATATTAGTCATATTAATGACATGCTATATATTGTGTCAAGTTTAACGCAAGAGGCTTTTACCAACAATAATGCCATTAAAGCACTCGGTGCTGCATGCCAAAAAGAACTATTTTTTTCTACCTGCATGGATCTGGGAAAAATGCACACATTTCCAGGGATATATCTGCAAAGCAGATGCAGAGAAATAGCAAATATTTAAAGTCACATTAAGCTGAGCTGGGAACTGTCATCTGTCTCGTTCCAGGCCATGTAAGACTTTCTGACCACGGGACATGTCACATTCAAAACCTCGACAAAACCATTTATTCTATGGAAATGTCTCATGATGAAGAGAGTCCAACTTCCACTACTACCACGGGTAATGAAGGTCTCAGAACCAAAACACCTGCGAATCCTTTGCTTCGCTGTCCCTCTTCTTACCCACAGCGAGTAACACTGTCAGTGTGGCCACTGCTCCTTCTTCTTCTCCTCTTCCTCTCTGCTCCCTTGAGCTCCTCTGTCACATTGGATTATGGTTTAATGCCGAGAGTTGCAGTTGAAAATAAGGTCCTTGATGCGACCAAACACTGGCTTTGCCAACTTTAATAATTGTATTAACTTACCAGGAGGGCTTGGATAGGTCCATCCAAGGCTGCCCAGGGAGGTGGTTGAGTCACCATCCCTGGATGTGTTTAAGGGACGTTTAGATGCGGTACTGAGGGATATGGTGTAGGGGAGGACTTTGTAGAGTAGGGGAGATGGTTGGACTCGATGATCCCAAGGGTCTCATCCAACCTGAATGATTCTATGACTCTATGCACAGGCACTACATCCTCTTGGAAGGAAGAGGTGATGGTTGTATTTGCTTTTATCTTAGGATAAAGGAGGGCGTAGAGAGGCGGGGGTCGGTCTCTTCTTCCAAGTTACAGATGATAGGACAAGGGGTAATGGGTTCAAGTTGCGCCAGGGTAGGTTTAGACTGGACATTAGGAAACAATTCTTCACAGAGAGAGTGGTCGGGCATTGGAAGAGGCTGCCCAGGGAGGTGGTTGAGTCCCCATCCCTGGCTGTGTTTAAGAACCGTTTAGATGTGGTGTTGGGGGATATGGTGTAGGGGAGAACTTTAGAGTAGGGTGGATGGTTGGACTCGATGATCCCGAGGGTCTCTTCCAGCCTAGGTAATTCTGTGTGATTGTGTGTGTGATTTATTTATATCGAGTTACACAGTACAACTGTGATACAACTTTTCTTACTACTACAAAATTTCTTACTACTACAAAAATTAACAAGTCTGCTAATTACTTGACGCAATGGAACAGCCTAGAGCTTTAAAAAAGCAGGGCAAAGCTGGCTCGTAACAGCAGTGCCTAGTCCTGCATTGACATAACATTCTCATTGTTTTATTTCATTTTTAAGGTATAACCGAGGAGTTTATTACCGCGCTGTTTTACTTCTACAGAAGCATGGGTGAACTCAAAGTGACCGAGGCCGAGTATGCCCTGCTTGTGGCAACCACCGTGTTTTTTTCAGGTAAATGGGAGAGCGGGGGGGGGGGGGCA